AGAGGTGAGGGTCCGGATCTCCGCGGGGAGTTCGTTCCAAAGGGACGGAGCTGCCACAGAGAAGGCCCTCCCCCCGGGTAGTAGCCAGGTGGCATTGGCTGGGGGGCGGATGATATTCCCTAGTTGGGTAATGAAACGTCTGCAAGAATATCACCCAGGTCAGAATATACCAAGGACCCCCCATTCCAGAAGACCCACCCCAAAGGGGAATTTGGGCTCAAGGGTTTTAGGGCTGGCCCGAAATACAAGCAGATCAAGTTTGGGGTGGAAAGAGAGGTGGGAAAAGGGTGGGACGCCACCAGAAAACCCACGATCTGGAGACTGAAGCAAAACAATGGGAGAAAAATCCCGTGGGAAGGAAGGAAACACGTTTCTTCACACCAGAAGTCAAAACCACATTTCTCCCCCTCCCGACACACACACACACACACACACACACACACACACACACACACACCTGTCTTCCCACCAGAGATCAAAAGAACAGAGGGAGCAGTTGTTTTTTTTTTCTCAACTGAAATTTATTATTTTCTTTCGGAGAACATTTGCTTTAAAAAAAAGAAAATACCAAGAAACCCAAACGCAGGTTTTCTTAGAGGGGTAAGTAAAAGTGTGTTGCATGGGTATTTTATACATAGGCACATTAAAACCCACTGGTTCCTTCCCAAGAAGCCCACCGCATCCCTGCTGTGGTATCCCATGAGTTTCCCCCACAAAGATGGGGAAGGGGAGGGAAGAGGAGAGACAGAAACAGACCCTTAACGTTTGAATGGGAGCGACTCCCATCGGCGGAGAGCCCCTTGTGTCTCTCGCAAGGCAGGATCCGAAGCTGTGGTTTCTCCAGAATATGGACCAGGCTGGGTTGGGAAGAGGGACCAGAGGCCCAGGGCTGCCCCCCACCCCATTATAAGCCAGGGAAAAGTCAGGAGCAGCTGTTGGGATGGCTCTTCTGGTTGGGGAGAGGCGGGGTCCTCCCGCCTGGGAGGTCTTCCTTGGAAAAGGTGAAGTCCTACCATGAGGGACGCCCATGAGATCTCCTTTGGAGGAGGAAGGAGAGAGGCTACGAAAGCCAAGCTTGGGAGATGTTTCCCAATGTCGTAGTGGACTTCCAACTCCCCGAATTCCTGTGGAGGAATTCTCCACCTGTCTTCCAAGTGGGCATGGACCTCCCATGAAGGTCTTCTCCAATCATAACGTCAAAATCTTGGTGGGACATTGGCAAGGGTTAACACCGACCTCTTCCATTGACTTCACGCAAGTGCTTGCGCCAATGGGGTGGAGTGGGTGACGCGGTGCCCACCGTCCTGCCAATGTTGGCCTACTGAAGGACCCAACCTCAGCTGGACTTCTCTGTCCAGCCAAGATGGGCAAGGGGGACCTGGAGGCCAGGGTTAGGGTGTGGTGGGATGACGTCACGATGGAAGTCCCATCACCGTGGCCGGCGAACGGGCGTTGCGGGGAGCTAAAAGCCCCCACCCCTGAAACACGCTACACGGACCCAACTCATGAAGCTCACCAATGACTCAACGCAAGTCGTGTGTTGGAAGATGGGAGTAGCTCACACAAGGATCTTGCTCTACTTTGCTAATGGTCGTCTTCTGAGTTCATCCCCTAGGGCAGGGGTCTCCAACCGTGGGCACTTTTAAGACTTGTGGACTTCAACTCCCAGAATTCCCTAGCCAGCCACGGGGAATTCCTTAAATCCCCAGAATTCCTTAGTCAGCCGTAGGGAATTCTGGGAGGAGAAGTCCACGAGTCTTAAAGGGGCCTAGGTTGGAGACCCCCCGTCTTAGAACAGTGTTTCTCAAACTTGGAGACTTTAAGAGGGCTGGACTTCAACTCCCAGGATTCCCCAGCCAGCATAGCTGGCTGGGGAATCCTGGGAGTTGTAGTCCAGCCCTCTTAAAGTCTCCAAGTTTGAGAAACACTGTCCTAGGTATGTCTTTGGGGATTCGTAGTCCAGGATGGGACTTCGGGGTTCCCGGTGTGACATTTTCACGGAGAAACCAAAATCACGTCTCTTTTTTTTAAAAAAGCAAGAAACCAACTCTCTTCATATGGCAACAAGAGAATAATTCCCTTTCTTAATCTCCTAAACAGCAGCAAAAGTTTTGCCTTTGGAAGGAAAGCCTTCCCAGGCTAACTGAACTTGGAGGGAGGGAGGGGAGGAAGGAGAGGGGGGGGGTGTTGGGAATAAACAGGGGGAAGGGGGGTCTGCACTCCAACAGGGCCACAGGTGCATCCATCCTTGTAGCCAGGGGGGAAATGAACCAGGGGTTCAAATAAATCAGGGCGTCTTTACAAAAAGGTTTTTTCTCTCTCTCTCTCTCTCTTCCTGAGTGGGGTTCATTTCCAACAATGGGAGAGGGAAGGGGGGGGGAGAATAAAGAGGAGGGACCCCCAAACCACAGGCAACTTTGGTTGTGCGCAGCGGTCCCCCAGGAACCAACTGTCTCGCAGTAACTTAAAAGCCTCTTAAAACACAGTGAAACTTCCACACTCTCACAAACTTCCAACAATATTGGAGATCAACTTTTTAACACTAAGCAGCTGGGTTTTTTTGGGGGGGGGAGCAGCCAGTGCTAGCAATGCAACTTCACCAACAAAACACCCCACAAAACCCGTAATTTCCTGCTTCCCCAATCAGCTTTTGGGGGGGCTAAAAGAGCTGAGACATTTCCCGAGGAGCAAAAATACCCCCCCCGAACACGAAACGCTTTCTCAATCTCTTCAGCGGCCACCTCTAAACGCTGTACCCCAACACGCCGGGATACAATATCGAAGGAACCGTCGGATAGAATCGTGACAAGGAAGGAGGCCAAAGGAAGGACAAAATTAAAAAAAGGCGAATGATTTTTTAAAACAAATATGTTTAAAAATAGTTTTCGAAAAATAAAGCCGAGTGGTTGAATTAGCCCGCCGAGAATTGTCTCGGGCTGAATTGGCCAGGGCGAGTTCGAGTTGAGTTTCTTCCTCTAAACCGCCAGTCGCTCAGACTTTCTGGCTTGGCGGAATGGCATGGGGAGGGGACGGTTCCGTGCGAGCGGCCGGTACGGGCAACTCCACTCGCGCAAGCAGCGGGCGCGTGCAACCGTCAAGAGATGCTTATGGGCACACCGCCCAGCTCCCAAGAGGCTGCAACCCAGCGGTGGGCTACGGCTGGGGGATTGGGACCCCTGCTCTGAACAGTAAAACCCCCAACCGAAATCTGCCGGTCAGCTTTTGCAAATGGCAGTTGCAAAAAAAACCTCCGTGGGCCGCCAGACTTTGCCAAACCAGGCAGAATATAAGAAAAACAAAATGGCGGACCTGAATTAGAAGGACAAAGGCCGCCATCGGATGGCGCGGGCCCTGAGCTGCACCACCGGCCAAACAGAAGCTACGGAGGTGGATCCGCGCCTGGCCGAACGCGCCTACAAAGCACAACTGACGCGGGGGCGTAGTTGTCGATGTCATTGTGCGGTGTGGGGGGGGGTCGAGAGGAGGGAAGCGCAGCGCCAGGCGCACAAGACAAGGGGCCGCAGGAGCAGCCCAGCAAGAAGCGCGCTCAAACCTGGCAGCCAGCGGGCAGCGGAGATGGCATTTTTTG